TTTTATGTTCAACTTGTTGACTTTATTTTGTAGACATCTCCGCGGATGGCATTATCCACGATGTACGCCATATTGGTGCCGGCTGGTTTATAGGGGTGTTCGCCACGATTTCGTCCCGCATTTTCCGTATGCTGGTGCTCGATATTTTTTTCACGGCACGCGAGCCTTTTTGTATCTTTCTAGTACGCTTCTATCCACCATGTCAGTTCCACGAGGGACGTTGGTATACCCGTGTGCCGGAGTGCTGGCATGCTCCCAATGAGGCATTGTTCACACTCTGCGGTCCAGCGTTTCTCTGAAACGCGGCGGTTCGGCGAAAAGCTTTCGATACATATCGACTGGCGGTTGGGCGAAGAGCCTGGCGGTTGGGCGAAAGGGTTTTGGTACGTATCGACGGGCGTTTCGCCAAACCGCGACGTTTTTCGCCTTCGACAAAACGCTATACGCATCTATTGCTTTTCGCCCAACCGCCCAACCGCGGCGGTTGGACGGTTGGGCGATTCTCCGATCGATGACTATTTTTGCTTTTCTCCCAACCGCCGTTTCGTCAGGGCCTGGAGACTGTGAACAATGCCTGACTTCCGCTGGAACAAGGGCGCCATAGCCAACTGGAGCGGATCGTTGCTCAAGTCCTTAGAAGTTACGCTTGCATGCACTGCTACGTTCCAAAAACGAAGCTATGGTTAAGAGATGTCCACAGTCATGGCCTGACCCTATTTCATTATTAACTCTTTGCTCCCTACGAGCCTGGGCTACATCATCTCGGCTTTTAGCTTTTTGACTATTGGTTTTTTTTCTGGCACACTCATGCAGTGCATATTAAATAAACGAATAAATATGCAATTTAAGAGTATCGCTTATAACCACGGAGCAAGTACTTCAGCGTCCCTCTCCATATTCCGCCCGCCACTGCTCAGTATGCTGTACTGCGTCATTACTGCCTGCCAACGTTACCAGCGCACAGACCAACCAGCAGTTCAACATTCGGAGTGCAGCAGTAGGAAAGTAATAGATAGTGATCATAGTGACCAGGCAGCACCAGGACTGCGCGCGACCAGCAGCGTCCAGGAGTGATTGGTATGGGCATATAGAAGGGTAGCAGACAGCTGGAAGAGTACCAGGATATAGGAGGGTAACGAACTGCTGGTAGAGAGTATGGGGGGATACGAGGGTAGCAGACAGCTGGTAGAGTATGGGAAGATAATAGGGTAGCAGAATGCTGGTAGAGAGTATGAGGAAATAAGAGGGTAGCTCTCTGCTACCCTCCTACTCCCTATACTCTCCAGTCCTAGACGCTGGTCGCTGGCGGACGCTGGTGGACGCTGGTCGCTAGTTCGATAGTTCGATACCTATATTTCACTAGCCCTCAAGACGCGGCTCCTCGCTGGTGGACCTGGTGGTCGTTGCCGTCGAATATGAACGCAGCCTCGGCCGTGCGGCTGTCCGTATCGTAGCTCGGGCGAAATCATGAGACGACAAGGAGTCCTGCGTCCGTGCATTATAAGCGGAGAAAGTGATACGCTACTGCAGCTGCGTACCCTTTCACCCGCATGGTAAGCTCCAAGTCTCCAGAAGGTGAACGCGCAATTCCTCTTCAATTGTACGGGGATCACGAAAAATCTAATACTTTACTCTATCGCACTTTACGGGGCGCAGGGGTGACGGGGCACATGGATTATCCGAAAAAAAGATAATCGTTAAATGTTCGTCTAGGAGTGACACACGTTACTCAATTTTCTCCTTATTACGAGGGCGAAACCATCTATCACCGGCGGCCAGCTACAGTATTTGCGTCAACAAGAAACAGTTGCGTCATTACAAAACGGGCCTCTCGCGCGTTGATTCCCGAGAAGTATGCCTCCGGTACTGGAAGGCACTAGCTTTGGAAATTCAGAGGAGCTCGATATGGCTCATGGCACTAATCCATGACCGCCAGGGACACTGGACCACGCGGCTCGAAAGATTTTGGAGATTTGGGACTGAGAAGTGTTCTGAGTCAATGTTTCGAGTATCCAATGATACCTTGAAGTCAAACGCCACGATTGTGTACTGTCAATAGTGGCTCTCGATTTCAAGTCTGCAGTCGCTAATGGCTCTACATGGAGGAAAAAGCAGAAAGTAATCATGAAGAACGCCTTAATCAAGATTTGGAAGCCGCTCTGGGAGTGCTCCGGACCGGCTCGTTTTATGCCACCAAAGAAATATCCTGGCATCTCTGGCTCAGTAATCGTTCGCTCATGTCGTTTAATGCCAATACCATCTGATAGTAAAAAAAATTAAAAGCGCGGTGCACATGCTGGACTAGTGACAGCAGGCCCTTAGTTCCGGTGGGCGAGGCAACTATGGAGGTGTCAGAACTGCCACTTATGAGAGTCACAGCGCTTTTGTTGCTTATGTGGTGCCGCTCAAATGGGATAATCTTAGAGATTCAGGATCCGATCACTTGTACAACTAAATACGCTGAAGAGCTTGAGCGCCGGGGCTATCCTTAAGCTTTTACGGGAAATTCTACTAGCGCAGGGTCTTTTTTGCCCCCCTCCCTCCCACATCTCTTAGCGAGACCTTACGAAATCAGTCTCACCTGTAAAGGGCTGCTCCAGTACTGCTGAAGTTGAGGTGTGATTAGACGAAACCGGTCGACGTCAATCGCCATCAAATTTACTATTTCACCATGAGTTTTCAAGCGTCTTGATGAGTTTGAAAGCCGGAGGGTCTGAATAATAAAGTACTTTTCGTTGATGTCTAGGCTTTACTCGCAATGATTTTCTCCATACAATTACCTTGCACGATTGATTTTACCTTGTTGTAGACGACAGCGGTGAGTATGCTTTGAATTTTCGTCCCCACACGGAACATAACAGTGTAGTAGTTGTTGAAGAAAAGAGATCGAAGCAAAGCGGAGACGAAGAGACCCACTGAGTAAAAGAGCCCTTCATAGAGTGGAGCGCTCGGATTTTCAGTGAAGGAAATCAGCAGACTAAACACGCATCTATGAAATGCCTTCCAGTGAAAATTTTAATGTTGCAGTAACGGCATATTCCGTAGCGAGGTGGTGCGAGAAGGAGAGGGTGACGACCAAATTTGGCCTGGTAGAGATTTTTCTTTTGTGGTGTTTCGTTAGTTACTTTGAAGGGCTCTCCATCTTAACGAAATGACATGGTTGTACTGCCTTGTCCATATATTTCAATAATAGCACGTTCGAGGCTGAGGTGGTGTAGTGACAAGTGGTGCGCTTTCCCACTTGCGCGGTCCTGGGTTGAAGGTCGACTCTCGCTCAGGTCAACCAAGCCTTCTACCCCCGGGGACGGTAAATTAGTACCAGATTTGTCTGGGAGTATAAGAGCACTGACTTGTACATCGGCTGGCCTCCGCAAGTCATTGTATAAGGCACACCGCATTCGATAAGCGCGATCAGATCGCTCGACTGGAGCGCGCAATTTTACCGCTCAGGCGGACCGCGGTTGGATCGCGCCATCCATTCGCGTGATCGCGAAGTTCGAATGCGCTGTAACGTAATCAGCAAATTGAAGCCTTGCATTGTGTTTTAAACGCGTTGACGGCAATAGCGTTTTGCGGGGAAGCCCCGCTTGGGACAGCAGCGTGTTTTCCACATGCGTCCGCTTTGAGCCACCGGTGGCTCATATTGTCCCTCGTGGACCACTTTTTTGCCGCTATGTCAAATTTCGCAAAATGATTAGTCAGTCATGCAGTGACTGCTATTTCTTCCATCCCTGACCCTACTGGATGCCATCTCATGCCCCGCCCTCTGCGATCACGCCACTTTTTAGCGTGATCGTGATTTAAATGTGTGCCATAACTTCTGTTTCTAAGGTAATGTTTCTTGGAATTTTTTGCTTTTCACACATTACAGTGATTCTTTGACGGCCACACCGACACATGGTGTCCAGTTGCATCAGATAACTTGGGTGTAGAGGTTTCTATCGAATTCGGTGTCAAAAAGATTGCTGGCGCCAAAGTGGCGCCTGCTGGCGCAAGGTGGCGCCAACACTGCAAGGCATTGATATTAATGACAAGGATGTCAACTAACCTGGGTATGAGGGTTTCTATCGCATTCGCTGCCAAAAAGACTGCTAGCGAAGAAATGGCGCCTACTGGCGCCATATAGCGCCAGCGACAAATATGACCCTGGGCGCCATATGGAGCCAAAGATAAACAAATCTCACGTTCATGATCAAAGCCCCGCGCAGTCCGTGCAGCCAAGGTTCCGTCCAAAAAGCACTTTTTGAGTGTTTCAATATTCTTGTGCCTTACGAGGTTGGTTAGGTGGAACGTTTATTAATAATGGCCTAACGTTTCGACTTAATCGTCGTCTTCAGAGGCCTGAATGTGTTTCAAGCATTAGATATGCAACCTACCCCACCAAGCACCTCGTCAACTCTAGCGGTTCCGACGTCGTGTCAGGAACCTTTCGAGAAGACGCCAATATCGCAAGACAGAGACTCACCAGTGGTTCCACCGTTGAGGCCCAAAGAGGAAGTCGCTCGCGGCCACACTAGAGCGCTGTCAATAGAAAAATGAAGAATACGACGTCTCCGTATAATGACATATCAGGAGACGGACGTCACGCTCTGTCATTCTACAGTTCGCAGTGGGGTATAAACGGTAGCAGATCGTTTGTGATGGCAGGACACTCATCTCGGTTGTTCATTCTGGGTTTTCTAGTGAATATCCAGAATGCTTCCAACGCTTTTCTGGCTGAGAGTTCCGTCTCATTTGCCAGCACACTGCACTTTATTTCGAATTCGATACCATCATGTTCCACAACCTTATGCCTCCCAAGAGCAGTTGTAAGGGTACCGCGTCTCATGCTAGCAAGATGTTCC